TGTAGGCAGCATATAGATGGGTCTTGCTTTTTTATCCATTCCATCATTCTGTATCTTTATCGGAGCATTTAGTCTATTTACTTTTGAAGTAATTGTTGATAGGTATGTACGTACTGACATTGTGTTACTGGTTTTATGGTTATTTTTATAGTTTTTCTCTGTTCCTTCTCTTGCTCTCTTCTCTCACAGTTTGCTGGCTTTCTTTGGTGATATATTTGGATACCTTTCTCTTCTATTTTGCATATCTATTACTGGTTTTTTTTTTTTTTTAAGTTTTTTTTTTATTATTTATTTGACAGAGAGAAACACAGCGAGAGAGGGAACACAAGCAGGGGGAGTGGGAGAGGGAGAAGCAGGCTTCCCGCGGAGCAGGGAGCCCGATGCGGGGCTCGATCCCAGGACCCTGGGATCATGACCTGAGCCGAAGGCAGACGCTTAACGACCGAGCCACCCAGGTGCCCCCTATTACTGGTTTTTTATTTGTGGTTAGCATTAGATTTATCTATAACATCTTATGCATATAGCAGTCTATATTAAGCTGATGGCCTCTTAAATTTGAACCCATTCTAAAAGCACTAAATTTTTACTCCTCACCCACTCCCACATTTTAAGTATATGATGTCATACTTTACATCCTTTTATTTTGTGAATCTCTTGACTGATTTTTATAGATATACTTAATATTACTGCTTTTATGCTTCCTACTGTTCTTACTCCTGCTTATGGTCTTTCCTTTCCAAAGAGTCCCCTTTAACATTTCTTGTGAGCTTAGCTGGTTTAGTGATGATGAAGTCCTTTAATTCTTGTTTGTCTGGAACAGTCTGTCTCTCCTTCTCTTCTGAATGATAGCCTTGCTGGATAGAATATGCTTGGTTGCAGGGTTTTTTCTTTCAGCACTTTGAATATATCATGCCACTCCCTTCTTGCCTGAAATTTTTTTTCTAAAAAAAATCAGCTCATAGCCTTATGGAGTTTCCCTTGTGTTTAAGTGTTTTCTCTTACTGCTTTTAAAATTCTCTCTTTATCACAATACTTTGCCATTTTAATTACTCTGTGTCTTCGTGCGGACCTCCTTGGGTTGATTTTGTTGGGAGTCCTCTGTACTTCCTGGATCTGGGTTTCTGTTTCCCCAGATTCAGGAAGTTTTCCACTATTATTTCTTCAAATACATTCTCTGCCCCCTTTTCTCTATCTTATCCTTCTGGGATCCCTATAATTTGAATGATTGACACTTGATGGTGTTATTGAATGTCCTTAATCTATTCTCATTTTTTCTTTTTCTTTTTTCTTTCTCCTGTTGAGTTTGATTGTTTTTCATTACTCTGTCCTCCAGGTTGCCAATCCATTGTTCTTTCCTTTAGTGTACTGTTTATTCCCTTTAGTGTATTTTTTATTTCAGTTATTGAGTTCATCTCTGACTGATTCTTTTTCAAACATTTTCTCTTTGTTGATGTTCTCACTGAAGTCCTCCACTCTTTTCTGAAGTCCAGTGAATATCTTTGACCATCACATTAAATTCTCTAGCAGGTATATTACTTATCTCCATTTCATTTAGCTCTCTTGTTCTATTTTGTCCTCTTCTTTATTTGGGATGTATTTCTGTCTCCTCGTTTTGTCTAATTCTGTTTCTTTTCTTTTTTTTTTTTTAAGATTTTATTTATTTGAGAGAGAGAATGAGAGAGAGAGAGAGCATGAGAGGGGGGAGGGTCAGAGGGAGAAGCAGACTCCCTGCTGAGCAGGGAGCCCGATGTGGGACTCGATCCCAGGACTCCTGGATCATGACCTGAGCCGAAGGCAGTTGCTTAACCAACTGAGCCACCCAGGCGCCCTAATTCTCTGTTTCTATGTGTTAGGTAAATCGGCTACATCTCCTGCTCCTGACGGTAGTGGCCTTAAGATGAAGATTCCTATAGTGCCCTGCAGTGCAGTGTCCCCCCTGTTCACCAGAACTTGGCACTCCAGGTGTCTCCTATGTGTGTTGCGTGTACCCTACTATTGTGGTGAGCCACATTGCCTTCAGTCCAGTCATCTGCAGTGACTCCTCTTGCCTGTTGCAGGCCATGGTCCTTGTGTCATTAATGGGCCAGTCTGGGGCTGCCTTGGGCTTGAGTGGAGTCAGACCAGGTGTTTGTCAAAGATACAAAGATACTGAACTGCAGGGTGCTTTCTCTTTGTTGTCCACTGAGAAGCTTTTGTTGGTAGGTGGGACCTGCAGTCAGACCACATGTCTGGCCTCTGCCTACTGTTGGAGCTGCAGTCAGACTGGTGTGTGTGATTGTCTTCCCCTCTCCCCAGGGCAGGAGTCACTTTGGAGCAGTGCTGGCCTCTGTTGGGGCTACTTGCACACTGCCACGCTTGTTGCACTGCTTTGGGTGGACTCCTACTGAGGGCTTGTTGGAGGAGGCGGGTCCACAGGAAAGAATTTTGTTAACAAGGTAGGTGGAGAGAGGTCCCAGTGGTTCTCCCAGGTGTCTGTGTATCTCGGCTAGGGGGAGGGGAGGGAAATGGCGCCTTCCAGCTCTTTTGTTCTTGGAGAAGTCTCCGAAAAATCCCTGTCTCTCCAGCATACATTCTGAGATTCATAAATGAATCTTCCCCAGGTATTTTTCAGACTGCTCTTTCTAATATATATCTCAGTGGGGCTCTTTCTTATACTGTCTCTTTTCAGTCAGGGACTCACTTTCTTTTCTTTTTTTTAAAGATTTTATTTATTTCACAGAGAGAGACACAGCTAGAGAGGGAACACAAGCAGGGGGAGTGGGAGAGGGAGAAGCAGGTTTCCCGCCGAGCAGGGAGCCCGATGCAGGGCTCGATCCCAGGACCCTGAGATCATGACCTGAGCCAAAGGCAGATGCTTAACGACTGAACCACCCAGGCGCCTCAGGGACTCACTTTCTATCACTCTCTGGCTCTCAGAGCCAAGCTCACTGATTTTTTTAAAGTTCCAGTTTTTAATCCCCACTGATTATAAGAACTCGAGATGTTAAGACCCTCTGGTTTTCGAAGCCATATGTTATGAGGATTCTTTTCCCAGCGCAGGTCCCCCATGCCTGGTGAGGTGTCTGCTCCTCTCTCTTTCTGTGCTTGCAGCATCACTTCCTCCTGCGGACAGTCTTCCAGTCAGTTTGGTTCCCAGCCACGTCTCCACCCTTCCTACCCTCTTTGATGTGACCTCATCTCTACATTTAGTTGTGGAGAGTCTTCAGGTTGTTCTCTGGGTTATTTACACTGATATAGGTGTTACCTAGTTGCATCTTGAGCTTAGGATCCTCCTACTCTACCATCGTACCCAGAAGTTTCAGGAAACTATTAAATACTCCAACCGAATAAAAAAATTCTCTTGTGGACATACTAATAAGGGCATTGATGTAAGAGGCATTATAAAAGGAAGGAAAACAAACAAAATAATGGAAAAGATGCAGGAAGAAGTAAAAAGCTTGAGAAAGAAAGTGTGTGAAATGCAATATAGGCAAAGGAAGACCCAACATAACTACAGTTAGAATCCCTGAGGGGGAGAAATCAGTGGAACAGAACTAACTACTAAACCATAATCCAAGGGAACTTTTCAGAAACAAGAGAAAAGCTGAAATCTATATATTAAAAGGGCCCACCTGGACAGATTGATCCAGAACAATGAACTCTGAGTCAGAAACTATTAGACTTTAAAGGTAATGTTTTTTCTGTCCTCTGGGATAAGGAGTGAGCAGGAAATCACTTAAAAAAAAAAAGATTTACATCCGACTTCTCAAGAATAATATACCAAGGAAAGCTACCGTAGAGCAGCATTTTTAAAAGCTCAAGGAAACAAAATTCAGGCTTAAGATGTATTTGCATTATATATATATATACTACTGTGTTTTAAGCCAACTTGAAATAATTTTTTCTGCATACAGTTAAATCACCAAATCTCTACATAATTAAGTTCATTTGTTTTGTCGGTTTTTTTTTTTTTTTAAGATTTATTTATTTGACAGAGAGACACAGCGAGAGAGGGAATACAAGCAGAGGGAGTGGGAGAGGGAGAAGCAGGCTTCCCGTGGAGCAGGGAGCTTGATGCAGGGATTTATCCCAGGACCCTGGGATCATGACCTGAGCCAAAGGCAGACACTTAAAAGACTGAGCCACCCAGGTGCCCCTAAGTTCATTTGTTTTATTTTGCTTTTTATTTTTAGGGTTTGTTATTTCCATTTTATTTTTGCTTTATTTTTTACAAATCTTAAAGTATTCAAAATAACATAACTGACAGTTGTGGTTTATTTTTCAAAATATAAATAGGGGCGCCTCGGTGGCTTAGTTAAGTGTCCAACTCTTGATCTCAGCTCAGGTCTTGATCTTGGGGTCCTGAGTTCAAGCCCTGCATTGGGCTCCACACTGGGCATGGAGGGAAAGGAAGAAAGGAAGGGGGAGGGGTGGAAGGAAGGAAAGTATTAGGCTTATAGGAACAGTATTTAATCAAAGGAATGTTTATAGTTATTCAAAGTTTTCTACTCAATTTTTTTCTAAAATGGGTAAGGAATTTACTATAATTAAATTTATCAGCTATTCCTGTATTCTAACTGGGAGTCTATACCCTTCAAGGCAACCCTAAAAAGTGTAACACACTACTACCACACACAGTATTTCTGAACTACTTCTGGGAGCGTGTATCAGTATTTTCTAAGACATTGGAACTATCACCAGAGTCTTGCATGAACTTGTCTTAACCCCATCACCTACTAATTTGGGTTACTCAGGGCCTCAGTTATAAAGATAACTGCTCATCTACCTTCTAATACCAAAGTAATTTTTGCCTAATATGCAATATAAATAAAATGATATACTGTAAAAAATATGTACTGTGGCTTGAAATCTGAAATTTAAAACTTTAAATGATTCTGCTGGGTCATGGAAGTTTTTGCCACAGTTACAGTAATAAAATATTAAAATTATAGTTACTATGTCTCTTTCTGGAGGTTGGATCCTAAAATGTGTAATTCTGCGTTTTCTCTTTTCAGAGGCAGATAAAATACTAGTAATGCGTGGACAGTGGTTTATTGATGGTACTTGGCAGCCTCTAGAAGAAGAAGAAAGTAATTTAATTGAGCAAGAACATCTCAGCTGTTTTAGAGGTCAGCAGATGCAGGAAAATTTTGATATTGAAGTGTCAAAATCCATAGATGGAAAAGATGGTAAGACCAATTAATACATTTAATATGTTGTAAACCAAATACGTTCTTAACGAAGTTTAGAGTAGTTCTTAATTTTGCATAGTAATTCATGAGTGTTAGAATTTATAAAATTTCTGATTTAAACATTTGATTATTTTAGAATTTAATACTGCTATGAATTCCTAAACTGTCTCAATTTTTATTTTCCTTAATATATGTGTTCACTGGCATGACACTAACATGACTTACTATTATACAAATTGTTATGTGTTCTGTGAATTAGTCCTTTTCAGTAGTTGGTAATTACCAACAAAAATTGAATCTACAAAAATATGTCATTATATCAAACGGGCAGTTTTGTTAATATTTTAATGTTGGTTCTTTTCCTGAAATTTAAAAAAAAAAACACCTTAATTTCCTTTGTATACGTATCTTTAGGTTGTCTCCATACTGATAACCACATCACCTTTTACTTTGAAACAGTCTTCTCTTTATATTCCCTTACTCAGCATTTGGATTTGTTTGCAATAGCTTAAAATATTTATATAATAGCCAAGATTGCCATGTTTCATTATGTGTCTGATCTTGAGTAAAATTCAAAATGTGTGGTCAAGTTAAAAATACTTCTATTGTTCCATTTACTGCAGGCAGTGGGATCAGCTATTCTGGTGAGTATAATAATATAGGTAGATTAGAATTTGTAGATTTCTCTAAATATTTTTTTCTAAAAAGTGTTTCTTCATCTATGCTTGCCTTTATTTTGGAGGTTTCTTGGCAAGCCCTATTGAAACTAGTGAATTAAAATATGAATTAAGTGATTTTTTTTTTCCCTTTCTCATAAAACATCTCTAAAGCAGAAAAACTCAGTATTGATCAGGTAATTCACAGAATGCAGCTTGGAAAAATTATGTGGTTATAAGTAATTGTTTACATGACATAATTAATGGCAAAATAATGAGCTTTAAATTGGCTCGGCTTATTTTTTTTCTTATTGTTAGTAACAAACATCCTAAGTCTTTTCTTTCACCTACCCTTTCTCTCTGAAGACACACACACACACACACACACACACACACACACACACACACATACACGTCACAAGCAAGGAAACTATATAGTTTTGTTTATACCAAATTAACATATCTTTTGTGTCTAGTTGATTAAAATCTACATAACTGAGGAAAGTTGTGGCTCATCACCACTACCAAAATAAGATTGCTATCAGAGAAGGCTGAATTCTAGATTTCTTTCTATTAAGTCTCCTTCAATCCTCCCTCAGAAATGGCAGTTCACCTTAACAAACCCAGTTTAGCCACCCGAATTCCTTACTCTTAGTGCAGGGGGAAGAAAACCCAAGAGCTTGGAGGAGAAAAAGGATGAGTATAAAAAATAAAAATATAAGTAGATTATTCCCCTTTCTTATTCTGTATTCAAAACATTCTTTTTCCTCTTGCTAATTCATCTTATGGAAGTTAGTCATCAGCTCTGTTTCATCTCTAGATCACATCTATTTGGAATCTTGTTTTTATTACAATAAAAATTAGAATTTTTGTGTCTTTTTTACTTCTACTGCCTACCAAAATGTTGAGTATAGCAGGGTACTTCAGTTTTCTTCACAGTGCCCTAATTTTAATGAGCCAGTCATTTAAATAAGTCTGATAAAAAACATAGTATATTTGTGTGAGTAGATTTTTAGTATGTCCTTGTCTGTGTGTTGATTCTAGAGTATCATTTTAGGGTATTATAGTAATATTTTTTGCTACCTTTAAAGATATACTTTGGTCAGAAAATTTTTAAACTGTTACAACATTTTTGCATTGTAATCTTTCAAAATGATGATTTTTAAAGGTTCATTAGAAGAAAAATTGGTTTTTTAAAATACACTGTGGCATGTAAGTAAAGCTTCAGCATATTTTATTAACAAAGATTTTAAGTTCAATTTAGTATATATACTGTCATCATAAATTTACAGCCATTTTAGTTGTTATTCAGTTTTATGTAAAACATACATTTCTATGTTAAGATGTGATATTTGACTTTGAAAATTATGGGAAATTTTGTAGTACATTTGAAAATTATCACTGGTCGTGAGTCAAGAACATCTGCTGTCCAAAAAGCCACCATTGTTAGAAAAATCAAATTTACCACATCTACAAAGATAAAAACATATTATAATCTTTTATTTTGTTTCTTACCTCTAAGCTTCTGAAATTTCATATTTCATTAATTAATTAATTAGGGTAAAAAATATCTTTTCCACCTAAATTTTCTCATGTACATATGAGAAAGCCTGACTCTTCATATTGTCAGGAGGTTTTAAATGTTTCCATGTGCAGATAGTACTGTGCTAGGCACTCTTGTGAAAGATACAGGGTTTTGACCCTCAAGAAGTTTTGGGGAAGACAAAGCCAAAGATGAGAGTAGTTACAAAGAGTAAGTATAAGATAACACAGTAAACAGTGAATACAGAATTAGATATTCTACAAACAGACTTTGAATACAGAGTTGGAGATCAAAGTGCCATGGAGTTTTTCAAATAAGGCTTTCTGGAAAAATCCCATTTAATAATTAAAAATATTTTAAAATACTATATCTAGGACTCTTAAGTGTTCTGTGGAATTTTTTTTTCTCTGGAATTTTAAGAAACAGAGTTCTTGCCTTGAAGGACATTAAAATAATTCCTTTTCTTTCTGACCTTATCTGTGTTTTGGTTAGGGTAGCTGATGCCACAAATAAATTGGCTTTTTTGATATTTTCTCCTTGTTAATTTTCCTACTAATCTCAAAGTAAGCATTGAAATAGATTGATGAAAGTTTAGCATAACTTTTTTAGCATACAAATAAAGATAACCCATAAAAGCATCATCACTGGGCGCCTGGGTGGCTCAGTCATTAGGCATCTGCCTTCAGCTCAGGTCATGATCCCAGGGTTCTGGGATCTTGCCCCACATCGGGCTCCCTGCTCAGTGGAGAGCCTGCGTCTCCCTCTCCCACTCCCCCTGCTTGTGTTCCCTCTCTCGCTGTCTCTCTCTCTGTCAAGAAATAAATAAAAACATTTTAAATAAATAAATTTTGTTTTCTCTTAAGAGTTAAAATAAAAATTGATTCTCTTCCCACCCCACCTTCTAGCAGCCTAACAAATGGAAGTCTAGAGTTTCACTGGGGATGAATTCTACAAATAAAATCAGCCTTTCAAATAAGTAATTTTGAAAATACTTGAACATAGTGCCAGATTAGTGTTTGACTCACTTTATAATTTATCCAAGCAATAATCAGTTTTAAAAAGGTTAAACTAAATGAGTTAGTCCTGTACTTCACCCTGACCAAAAAATGCATAACATCAATCCAATTATGAGAAAACATCAGATAAACTCAAATTAAGGCACATTCTACAAAATAACTGATCAGAGGTCTTCAAAAATGTTAAGGCATCTAATTAACTAAATAAGGGGAACCCTTTCACAATGTATATCAATTCACTATGAGGTACACATTAAATATCTTATACTTTTATCAATTATACCTCAATATAGATGATTTTTTTCTTAAGTGTCAAGGTTATGAAAGAAAAGAAATCCAGTAGGGGCATTAAAATAAAATAGTAAAAAATATTTAATTAACCCAAAAGAGGTTAGGAAAGGAGAAACAAGAAACAAAATACAGATGGAACAAAGAAAAAATAAATGGGAAATGATAGACCTAAATTCACCCGTGTTAATAATTACAATAAATACAAGTGAACTAATGCTTCAGTTAAAAGGCAGAGATTAACAGATTAAGAATGTAAAAACTATATGCTATCTGTAAGAGTCACACTATCAATATAAAGTCACGGATAGGTTACTGTTCAAGCTATTTTGGGGTACTGTGACATCACAGGTGTTGGTGTATCTTGAAGGACTTAATACATTTAACAATTTGGCATGTAAAGTGTGTATTGCTATCACTGTTACTGGATAAGAATATCCCAAATTGTGAATATAGAAACTGCAAAAGTCAAAAATGTGGAAGGAGTTGGGGGTTGCTAATCCTTTCTAACCAGCTTTCCTTTTCCTCCCTCTTTGGTGACTAAGAGGATTCCCATCTTCTAGCTTTTGGTTATTACTTTTTATAAATTTACCTAACTTAATTTCTCTGAGATCCAAGACAGTTGCTGGAAGTTTTCTCATTACAGTTGGTCTGTTTGAGATGTGCAAACCTGCTTTCCCTAAAGTTGAGTTTATCCAGGTTACCAGCTTTTAGATAGGGAAAAGTCATTGAGTTGTTCTGTTCCGGGGATCAGTGTGTGATCAGCAATGCCCTCTTTTGATACTCTGTTGCTTTCAGAATTATATAATGAAGAAAATCCCTTTAAGAGAAGGACTAGTAAGGAAATTTATTAGAAATGCTATAGTACTTTAAATCTTTTTCATTGCTATGTAAGGCTTTAGTATATAAAATAACATTTTAATTAAATGTTAGCATTTAATAAGTTAACATTTTGAGTTTATGCATATTTTTGCTAACATAAGAATTCCTAACTAAAACTTTATTTTAGGGGAAAAAATTTAGTTAATGCTTTCTAGCACTTGAATTTCATTTAATGGTGATCCCTGTTGGATTGATAGTAAATACGTTTTGTCTCTACTGTGCTTATGGTAGTACCCCTAATTCTGTGCTTTGGGTTGAAAAAAATTAAGCTTTCTAACTATGCTATGGGAAATTGTGACAAATAGAGCAAATGACTTTCAAGTGAAAATAAGAATTTGGTTTGAGAGGAAGGTAAAGAACCATGTCTATTTAATTTTGTGAAAATGTTTTAAATAAATGTGTTTCTCTATTTTTAGTATATTAGGGTATTTGTCTTTTTTAATCCCTAAATTGTTACTGTTCCTTTAGAAAGAAAAGCCTTTCTTTTTTATATCTTGACTAGCTTTCTGAAAGTGTTTGCATAATTTTGAAGTGTAGTCAAATGGTCCATATGTATTTCAAGTGGATTTTTAAGTAATTGCTTATTTAAAATATAAAGACATTTTATATTGTATATAACCAGCAGTATTTAACATGGAAAATGTTGACTTCAAGGTTATCTGCTGATTTGCCAAATATCAAGTCTATATGTCTGGCTTTATGTTGGCTGTTTCATGCTTACCAAATGTCACAACATACATTTTTACTAATGACTTTTTTAATTATTATTTTAGTTTCCTTTTAGTAAATATGGATTTGGTTCATGTTAGTTTTACTAGTGGATATATAAAATCTAGGTTTTGTTTCTTTGAGTCGTAAAGTCTCAAATTTATGCCTATTCGATCTACTTTGATATTTAGCTTTTTCCTAATGAATTTTTTGTTTAAAAATGTGTCCTGGAAGTGGTACATCTACTGCTCAATAACTGACAGAAGTCACCTTTGAGAAGAAACTTTTTCAATGAAGAAAATGTTTCAGTTGTCATTTTCCACCCCTCTGTAACAAAGAAATGTTTTTATAATCTTAATGTTACAACCCAGTTTTTAATCCTAGTCTGTAGCCATCTAATTACATATAGTTGTAATTAAGTGGCTTGTAAGCATTTCTCAATTACCTTTATTGCACAAATCATTGAATATTTCATTTATGCATACAACAGATTTTTAAAATGTATCTAGTACTGTACAAAAGGAATTAAATAGATTCCTATTTGAGCAGTATTTAACCTTTGAATGTCACATTATTGTAGAAGGGAGTGAGGATGAAAAAGCAAATGTTTTAGAACATAAATTTGAACTAAGTCATAAAGGTTCTGTGGTTCATTTCCTGAACTGTGAAGAAACTGATTTATTTAAAAAAATGATTTATAAGGTTCAATTTCAAGTGGATTTTTTTTTAAAATGCTTATTTAAAATGTAAAGAAATTTACTGATCTGTAACTAGCAATGTTCAACAGGGAAAGTATTGACTTTAAGGTTATCTACTCATTTGCCAAATATCAAGTCTATGTCTGGCTTTATGTTGTCTGTTTCATGTTTATAAGATGTCACAGCATGCATTTTTACTAGTGGGTTTTTTTTCATTATTTATTACTAACTTCCATTATTTTATCACTAACCAATTAAAGAGCTTCCAATTTGATTTATTTTGGCAAAAGTTTCATTTTAAAATTCTTTTCGCAACTCTGAGTTGTTTTGTTTCTGTGGGAAGCTTCCATGATATATTTCAGTAATAGAAGACATCTAGTGGAATGTATACTGTGATATTTTCTCAGGAAAATTGTATTAAATGTTTAAAATGTTATTTATTGCCTTCTTAATTTGGACATCAGCTGTTGGCTAATTTGGTGAAAGTAAATAACCTTAGTATTGTGAAAATGGGGTTTATAAGTCCCTTATGCATACAAAAATACCATGACCTATTTTTTATTCTATGTGCAAAGACATTAAATATTATGATCACATAGCTGTCTTTAACGATAAATTTTAGGTATCATTTGCCTTTTTTTCTTTCAATAAAAGTAGAGCATATATTTGATAAACATTATTAAACTGATGTTTTGCTTTACTGATTTTTAATTAGAAATTAAAGCATTTAGAATAATGTTTGTCAAATACAACTCATTTTTTAAAGTTAATACAGCAAAAAGGCAAAATGGCAAACCATTTAAAATTTACTTTGAAGCTCAGTGTTTTTGCTTTCTTAGTTGTCTACCACCTCCCTCCCTTCTCCCTCCCTTCTCTGTTCAAATGGAGAGGATATAAGGAGAGTACAGATGCGGCAGGTCTTAAACGAAAGCGTTCTCAAGGTACAGTAATTGTAGTTTTATTTCTCCATGTAGTTATTTCTCCCTGGCTTACAGCATTTAAAGCATAGAAATTACTAGTTTTTTAGAAATGTGTCCATTGTGCTATTTTGCTTAGAGTTACTTAATTATAAGCGATATAAACATTTGTAAATAATGTGTGTGGTCCAGTAATGGGATGTTCACCAATACTAAGATGTTTTACTTTAAGGCAGTTTGTGGATGATTTGAAGAGGAACAAACTTTTGTTGGCTTAACACTATTCTCTTAATATCTTAGTCCTGTAGTTTCAATGTTTTAAGCATATGTTGCTCAAAACTTTTAACGAAGATGTAGCTTGGAAACATTAGATAAAAAGGCATAAAATAGTGGTTTGGATCAGACATAGAAAAGTAAATAATTATTAAACTCTTGCAAAAGATTTTTAAAAGTTCTTTTATAAAAAAAAGCTGAGTTTGTACATTGTTATTGTTTGTTTTTTTGGATTGAACATTACTAATATTTGTTACATTAATTGCATCTTGGTCTATGTTCAGTGTCAGTAATGTATCCTGACAGGTAAGTGAAATATAAATTGGTTTTTCATAAATTTTTGAAATTACATTTGTAACATAACTAAGAATAATTTCTCTGAAAGGATTTACTTTTCTATGTGTTCTAGTAGGGAATAGTTTTTCATAAAAATGACTTACGATCTTAGTTCTTGACCAGGGCTATATAACCTTTCATATTTAACTTGAGGTTATTTTCAACTCATCTTCAAATCAGAATAGACTCTGCTGGTAATCAGCTTTGTGGCAAGTCACTTAATCTCTTTGTACCTCTGGGTCTTTATATATAATGGGAGATAATATTTTGCTTAAAAAGGATTTTTTAAAAAATCAGGCATAGCAGTTTTAAGGTGCATAGTTTTCTGAAGAGGGATATGTGGATTTTTCTCACCTCTATACCAGAGATATAGAAAGGAAAGTTTAAGGCCTTCAAAATATAAGAATTATCAAGTCATGAATGGATGAATATGTTAATGACAGTTCTCTTAATCCATTGCTTCCACAAACATTACTGAATTTGTGATACATGTTAGGCATTGTGCTAGGACACTGTGTTTGGTGCTAGTGGTACAAAATGATCAAGACATAGTACCTGCCTCAGAGAGTTTATGTATTTCTTGAGCATATAGGTTTGATTTTTTTTTCTTTAGAGCTTATTTTCACCAGGCATACCTTAGTTACAGAAATGCGATAATCATACTGATTTGAACATCATAGTAGAAAAAATTTCTTTGATTTCTTATTAAAACATCTTTCAACTTTGGATTTCTGTTACGGTGAGCAATATCCAGTGATAATTGGTTTTTATATCCATTTCAAAACTACCATATATTCTCATAAATTAGGTTGTTCTCTTCCCAGTTTAAAGATAAATTTTTTCCTTTTAGTCTTATTTTGTCTTGCACTGAGTGAAATTTTCACAGATCCAAAAATAAAATCCACAGAAGAAAGGAAACTTAAGTTTCTATGTCAAAGGTATTGAGGACTTTCATGAAGGTATATATTATCCCTTAGACCGAAGAAGTGGTCATTATCACGTGGGAAAGCAGTTCTTTAATAATAATCAGAACATATTAACTACGTGTTAGAGGTTAAAATTATGGTAGTTAAGCCAGTTAATTCTGTGTTGTTCTAACAAGTTGACATTCCCTGTAGCATGGTTAATCATTTATAAAATAAAGTCCCTATCCATTACTTGCTTCATATCAATATGTTTCAGCAAAACAGTTTTTTATTGAACTGAGTTCAAATATTGATTCAAAAATCTGTGTGTTATGATTTCTTCCCACAAATGAGCAACCACATTAATTTTTCCTTTTTGCAACAGCTATTCATAGTTTCAAGTTGAGTCGAAATCACGTGGACTGGCACAGTATGGATGAAGTATATCTTTATAGTGATGCAACAACATCTAAAATTGCAAGGACAGTAACCCAAAAACTGGGATTTTCTAAAGGTAATTGTTAAATATTACTATAGTTTGTCAAAATTTTGAGAATCTTTTTCTCTTACATTCAAAGTAGACTGTTCAAATTCTATTTTTAGTATACTTTAAATATGTATTAAATTTAGTGACAGTTACTGCCATATTAAATGAAACTTTTATTAAGGTGATTGAGTTCACATGTATTCATCAGTGGTAATCATATATTTAGAATGATCTGACAGGATTAATAAATATCTTTTGTACTTCTAGAAACACAACAGCAGTCAAACCTCAGGCAGTGATGTGAAAATAAAACATGGCAATTGAAGGTGAAAACTAAAAATTTCTGTTGGATTTAGTGAAATGGAGGTCATTGGTGACTTGGATAGATTGAGGGGGCAGAAGCCAGATTGGCCTGGGTTGAAGTCTATGTAGGTAGGTGAAGAAATGGAGGCAGTGAGAAGAGACAACTCTTTCAAGAAGTGTGACTAAAGGGAAGAAAAGAGGAAATGGTACCTGAGGAAGATGTGAGAACATTACTAATAAATTTCTCAGAAATTTTTGTTAAGTCTGATATTAATTTTTTCTTTTGCTATTCCATCTTTGTTGTGATTTCTTTGATAACATGTGCTTGAATATCTTCTCTGTGTTTACTAGTCATTTGTATTTGTTTTGTGAATTACATTGTACCTTTAGCCCATTTTGCTATTTGAATGGTTGTCTTCTCCCCTTTTGTTTCGTAAGCTTTCTTTCATACCTCAGTAATTAACATATTTTGCAAAAACTTTCCCAATTTGTCTTTTAGCTTTGCTTCATGGAATTTTTTTGATCGAGAACTTTTTAAAATTTTTATGTGTTCTGTCCATCCTTCCCTCCTTCCTTTTCTTTTTTTCCTCTTGTTTCTGGTTTTGGCATCATGTCCAGTCAAGCGCTTTATATCTGAGCCAGTCAAGGTACATCTTCTTACAAGTTTCATCCCCACGCAGCCCAGTGAAATTTTTTCTTAAGATCTCTTTTACTTTATTATTTCTTTCAATATATTGTCAAAATGCTGTTTCTGGAATAAATAGTAAACTTCGAATCATAATTTTTCTACAGCATCAAGTAGTGGGACCAGACTTCATAGAGGTTATGTAGAAGAAGCCACATTAGAAGACAAGCCATCACAGACTACCCATATTGTATTTGTCGTGCATGGCATTGGGCAGAAAATGGACCAAGGAAGAATTATCAAAAATACAGCCATGTGAGTTCTTTGATGAATACATTCTCCATCTAGTCTAGAATCCAAACTTTGGTCTGGGGTATAACAGAGTGTAATCATTCCACCACGTGTTTCTTCAATGTACTCTAATTAATCTCTTACTTTATAGGTGGAATTTCTGGACCAAATTTTGAGAGTGATTATGTCCAGATGATGATGATGATGATGATAATATTTGAGTTTTTTCCCCCCACAGCATGGAGAAGATGAAGGATAAAAACGTAAAACTAGGTTAGGTTGAAAGCAAAGAAAAAGGCTTAATTTTCAGTTTGTATCTTACTGTCTGAATTGCAGACTGCGTAAACTGAGAATAATTGCAAAGTTGCATAATCATGAAAAAACCTAAGAATCATTTAAATTGCCAGTCAGCAGTTTAACCTGGCCAATTAATTACTACCAGGGGAAACCGAACTCTAAATTTTACACAGAGAACAGTGGGTGTTTTAACCAACACACGAGGTATATTATTTACCTCATTAATTTATTTATATTCATCTTTATTCTAAAAAGTCCAACATGTTGGAGGGGTGGGGGATGTTTGTATTTGTGTGTGAGGACTGTGTGGAAGGGAAATGTTAGGGTTAAAGATTCCACCACAAATTTGGCTCTAAACTAGCAGCCAGTATAAAGAAAAACCTAATCGGGGATTCCTGTCTGGCTCAGTCTGTAGGGCATGCAGCTCTTGATCTCAGGGTCATGAGTTCAAGCTCCATGTTGCGCATGGAGCCTACTTAAAATTAAAAAAAGAAAGAAAGAAAAATCTAATCATATTTATGATGTGATGAAAACAAACAGGTGTTGGTTCAGAGCACACTTTATCTGGTTCTGAGGCTTCAAGTAAATGCGTTTCTTGTGTCCTTTAGAACAAATACTGTGTGGTATCAGGAACTTTGTCCTCATCAACGTCTCTCTAATAGTGCAGTGTTGAGTTTTGTTTCACTTTTTATTGTAATACCTCTTAATGCCAACTGGTGGATTAAAGTAAAGGTACAGTTCAACTTTTAAAAACTTCGTCAGATACTGTCGAGCTATCCTAACTTTTGTCAATCTTCATAGCTTATATTACAAAAAATCTCTTCCCTCTGATTCTGACTTTATTTTCTGGTGAGTTGCACATGACTTCTCGAATATTTATGTTTTTATTGTTAAAATGCTGATCTCTTGCTTGGGTACCTAGGAACCTGAGACATAGGTTTAATGGCATGTTCTTTCTGGAGCTATTGATAAATGGGAAGGTATCACCTTGCTTATTTTGGGTGTAGGTTGGGGAAAACCTAACCCAAAAAGGCTTAAGCCTAAAGAAGGATTTAGTAATTCATAAAACTGGGAAGTCTAAATCTAAGATTTGCCAGTCATGAGAATCCAGAATTCAGGTTCTATCTACGCTACTTTCCTTCATTTTTGAGCTATTCTCGGACATCTGGTTCCAGATGTGATTTATATTATATTGTGTTCAACTTCAAGAAGAAAGAATAAGTATTTTTTTCCAGAAGTCCCAGCTAGTCTAGACATTTCAGTGACCAGTGGTGTTGCATCCAACTGCCTGAATCTACACATGCGGCCATGCAGGGTCTGATCTGTTGAACTTGTCATCTTTCCACAGTCAGATGGAAGTTGGCTTCATCATAATCATTGGGAGAGGTAGAGCCACAGATAAAAATCAAGAGCTAGTATTGGAAGTAGGATGAATGAATCCAAAGTGGCTCAGAAAAACCAAGTATCTGCTGGGGCACCTGAGTGGTGCAGTCAGTTGAGTGTCCAACTCTTGGTTTCCACTCAGGTGGTAATCTCAGGGTCATGGGATCGAGCCCCATGTCGGGCTCCACTCTCAGCACTGAGTCTGCTTGGACTCTCTCTCTCTCTCTCTCTCCCTCTCCCTCCCCCTCCCTCTGCCCCTCATGCTCGTGCTTTCTCTCTCTCAAATAAATCTTTAAAAAAAAAAAGTATCAACTACAGAGAAGATTGCCGTCATTCCTTTAGAGACAGGTTAATTTGATGGAAAACCCCCCACATAAATTAGTAATTGATAGAAAATAAACATAAAAGAATTCTGCTTAATAATAAATGGGAAAATCCAGAGGATCTCTTAATCCTTTCCCTGCTTTCTACCATTCCTAAGTTAGTTGTCCAAGACTATAAAAACAGTAAAATTAACTTCATCTTTGTCACTGCCATTCTGAGTCTTGTTTGTATTTGTGAGACTACAGTTGAAATGAACAAAGCAGTATAAAGGGTTACAAGACTCCCCCCCCCCCCACCCCCGGCAACCTTTTGTTCTCGGAGGACCTCTTGAAATCATGTTTCAGAAACCTAGAATTAGAGGTTTATCCCTCACCTTATTTTAGTAAATGATGTGGGTTGAGAAGAAAGTTGATAGACAACTTCTAGGAATATCAGAACTGGTTTACCTAAAAGGATGGATGTATTTGAATTGGATTGGATTTACTTTTGGTAGCAATTTATTACAAGGGAAATCTTCACTGAACTTATATACTAATACCATAAATAAGTAATGTTAAAGCTGTAATTTTAGAAGAGTATAAAGAAACTTTCCATTAAACATGGTGGATTTAACACTTAAGCTTATCTTATTCCCTCCTGAAACCTCACTGAAAATGAAAGCAAAGGAATTTTTGAAAGAAAAAAGGCATAAACCTGTAAGCACAGAAAAAAAATGGAAGAAGGACAACAGCAAACAAGATTGTCAACAAAACTGATTTTTTAAATAGGAAGTCCATTCACATGGTTGACAAATCAAAGTATAAAAACCTGCAGAATGAGAAACCTGACTCCTGTTCTTATCTCCATCAACCCCCATTGTCCACTGTCCTTACGTCTCAAAGCAGTGTTAATCATTTATTTTATATTGTTCTAAAGTTTCTTTAGGCAAATCCAGATTTTTTCCACACAAAGGTGGCATATACACTTCTGGACCTTGCTTTCTTGTGTAAAGAGTGTACCTTGTTGACTGTTACGATTTTCTGTTTTTCTCCTTTCCTGTATATGTCTTAATACCAAATTGTTTTATCAGTTGATTTTTTTTTTAATTGAGGAGAATTGTAAAGACTTACTCTTTTAGAGCAATTTAGTGATTCTTAATTGGACAGTAATTCTCAGTCACTATTAATCCATTCCTTCCTTTTTCAAAATATCAACTAAATAAGCATTCATTGCCTAGCAGGGGAACATTGAAGTTTAATAAGCTTATATGACAGGACGGAGCTTTGTGTGTGGCCTTACAGTTGCACAGTCATGGGTTGTAGCTTGAGCCGTAGCATAATGGTTTTCAAGCATTCCTGTTTTGTTGTCTCCTCTGCCCTCCATCGGTCTCAGTGTTTCTCATGTCGTCAAGACCTATATGTGTAGGAAATGTTTTACCATTTTTAGTAAGGCAAATCTGGGGACATACCCAGTCTCTCTGTCCCTCCCTCCCTCCCCCTCTCTTCTTCCTCTTCTTTCCTTCTCCTTACCTCCTTCCTTCCTCCATTCCTTACTGTCTTCTTTCATCTTTCCCTTTCTTTCCTTTTTTTGAGTCATTCCTATTAATTACAACCAAGTGATTTAGGAGATAGACCTGGTTGCCTAATCAGTATCTACATATGTGACCATCTGAGAATTAGGATAGTGATCCTGTGGAGTAGAGGACTGTGTAAGTTTACTGTAGAAGAGGACAATATTTTAGGCTAATGTAGTGTTTTCCTGAGTTTATAATTCAGTCAGGGTTCCTCAGCCCCATCAGTTTTGACATATTTGATCAGATAATGCTAATAATTATATCATAATGAAATACGTAAGAACTATACAGTCATCAAACAAAAATGTGGGTAGAATAGTATTAGAAATCTTAAAATATGGTCTTTCTTATACATTCTCATACTTGTTAAAACTAAACATTTGAAAAGATGGCAAAGAAACTTAAAAATGTATTTATAACCCTTATTGGAGTATCTGCTGTAAAAAATAAAACAAAAAAAGGAACTTTTAGACTCTGTGGGTAATGAAAGAGATCATGCCTTCAAGTCTGAAGTTTTGGCTATCATTTATTTTCAGTAATGATTATTGGAAGCAGATTTTCCTTTTGGCAACCTAGAATTAATTTAGACATTTTTAAAGGCAACTTTGAGGATATACAATCAGTAAAATGTAATCATATTGTAAATATTGCCTTTTAAAATATACTAGAAGTGGAGATAGACTTTTTTAACAAATAGTATTGGGATAATTAGATAGCCATAGGAAAAAAGTAAAATTGGGTCCATTTCTCACACTCAGATAAATTTTTATTGAATCACATTTAAATATAAGAAATGAAGCCATACAAATACTATGGATTTAAAAGGTGGAACTGAGGGGAGTTTGAATTCTTCTACACTTTAAGAATAGAGAAAACTATCCTAACTATGACTTGATCCAGAAACAATAAGGAAAAATATTGATAAATAATTTTCCCAAAAAAAGCTATGTTGACAAAAACATAAAATAAGACAAACTGAGAGAAACCATGTGCAGCTTTTATATCACAGATAAACAATAGCCTTAATATATAGGGAACTTCTAAAAATAAAAAATCTGGCTACCTTTTAGAAAAATGGGCTAAAGAGGTGAACATCTAATTCCCAGAAAAGGAAATGCTCAATCAAATGTAAATTAGAATTGCACTAAGATGCCATTTCTTGACTATGAGATTAGCAAAAAATCCAAAATTTGACAATATACTACTCCTTTAGCCAGACTATAGTTGATAGGCATTCTCATACTGCTAGTAAACTGCAGTGAAGAAGAGAGAATGTGGGAATGTGTGTCAAAATTATATATGCATTTATTCTTTGACCCAGCAAACTTAACTTCGGAATCAAGGATAATACCATCAAAAATATTTTATAAAGATATATGCACAAAGCTATTCTTTGCAGCATTACATGTAATGGGAAATTACCCAAATGCACATCAGTAAGAGACTGGTTGATAAACTATGGCTATTT